ACATGAGCTCCTAGTGTTCAGATGATTATCCACCACAACCCCCAAATCCTTTTCAGAGTCAATGCATCCCTGGATAGAGTCTGGCCTACATTTTTTGTTCCTAAATGTATATATTTACATGTAGCCATGTTAAAATGCATATTATTTGCTTACACGCAGTTTAACAGGCATCTCTGAATCGTTATTTACCACTCTCCCAGTTTTTGTGTCACCTACAATCTTTCAGTGTTTATGTTTTTCCTTTGGGTCACTGATAAAAATGTTAAATAGCATAGGGCCTGTCATAAATATAAAGGGAAGGGTAAACCCCTTGGAAATCCCTCCTGGCCAGGGGACAGCTCCTCTCACCTGTACAGAGTTAAGAAGCTAAAGGTAACCTCGCTGGCACCTGACCAAAATGACCAATGAGGAGACAAGATACTTTCAAAAGCTGGGAGGAGGGAGAGAAACAAAGGGTCTGTGTGTCTGTCTATATTCTGTCTTTGCCGGGGATAGACCAGGAATGGAGTCTTAGAACTTTTAGTAAGTAATCTAGCTAGGTACGTGTTAGATTATGATTTCTTTAAATGGCCGAGAAAAGAACTGTGCTGAATAGAATAACTATTTCTGTCTGTGTATCTTTTTTGTAACTTAAGGTTTTGCCTAGAGGGGTTCTCTATGTTTTGAATCTAATTACCCTGTAAGGTTATCTACCATCCTGATTTTACAGGGGGAATTTCTTTATTTCTATTTACTTCTATTTTTATTAAAAGTCTTCTTGTAAGAAAACTGAATGCTTTTTCATTGTTCTCAGATCCAAGGGTTTGGGTCTGTGGTCACCTATGCAAATTGGTGAGGCTTTTTATCCAACATTTCCCAGGAAAGGGGGGGTGCAAGTGTTGGGAGGATTGTTCATTGTTCTTAAGATCCAAGGGTCTGGGTCTGTAGTCACCTAGACAAATTGGTGAGGCTTTTTACCAAACCTTGTCCAGGAAGTGGGGTGCAAGGTTTTGGGAAGTATTTTGGGGGGAAAGACGTGTCCAAACAGCTCTTCCCCAGTAACGAGTATTAGTTTGGTGGTGGTAGCGGCCAATCCAAGGACAAAGGGTGGAATATTTTGTACCTTGGGGAAGTTTGACCTAAGCTGGTAAAGATAAGCTTAGGAGGTTTTTCATGCAGGTCCCCACATCTGTACCCTAGAGTTCAGAGTGGGGGAGGAACCTTGACAGGGCCAAGAATTGATCCATAAGAACAGCCATGCTGGGTCAGATCAATGGTCCATCTAACCCAGTATCCTGTCTTGACAGTGGCCAATGCCAGGTGCTTCAGAGAGAACGAACAGAACAGGTCATCATCAAGCGATCCACTCTCTGTCGCCCATTCCCAGCTTCTGGCAAACAGAAACTAGGGACACTTCAGCGCATGGTTTTGCATCTCTGCCCATCCTGGCTAATAGCCATTGATAGACCTATCCTCTATGAACTAGTTCTTTTTGAACCCTGTTAATCCTGGTCTTCACAACATTCTCTGGCAAACAGTTCCACAGGTTGACTGTGTGTTGTGTGAAGAAATACTTCCTTTTGTTGCTGCCTATTAATTTCATTTGCTGACCCCTAGTTCTAGTGTTATCCAGGCAAGACTCCACTGTTTCCAGTGAAAGCATACTCGCTCAATGATTTTCCCATTTACAATTACATTTTCAAGATCTATCACTTAGTCAGTTTTTATTCCATTTAATGGATGCCATGTTAAACTTTATATTGTTTAGTTTTTGGTTGTTTTTTTTTTTTTAAGCAAAATCTCATGTGGTACTAAATCAAACACCTTTACAGAAGTCTATTAAATCAACTTTATTACCTTTATCTACCAAACTTGAAATCTCATAGAAAAAGATATCAAGTTAGTTTGATAGGATTTATTTTCCATAAACCCCATCTTCAATAAACTCAGATACTGTAATCTCCCAAAAACCAGGATTAGGGCAAAAATCCTATTGATAATATCACCACTCAGTATGCAAATTGTGAAGCAGAGAAATACTTGGCATGAGCTAAACATTTTATCTTAATTCATATAGCTTTAAAAGTAAATGCTTACCATATCTGCAGTTTAATTCTCTTGCCATCTAGCTCTATGGTTCTAATCTTAAAGTCAATACCTGGGGAAAAAACCTACATTAATTAAGATTTCCAGTAAAGATCAAGTTAACACTTTTTCCCCTTTAATTTTCCAAAACAAAGGCACCCATTCCATTTAGTTAATAGATTAGATACAAAGTGAATTCTGAATGTCCATGGAGTTCTTAACAACATTTAGCTCATTCTGAACAAAGACATTCAGAAAGCCCCTGTTGAAAGCAGACCTGGTGTAAACCAGCAGGGAAACTGTAACACTGTTACTCCAAATAAATAATATCCCTTTAAGTACAGTCACATTCAAAGCCTAACCTACTGTAGCTGTAGCTGAACCACAATGTACAGTTCAATCTAACTTCAGAAAAGCTGTATCAAGGTCAACAGAGCATTATGCCACACGGTGTCGCTGGAAGTATCATATAATTACTATCTATTAGATTTCTCTTTTCTCAATTCTAATAGATTATTAGAAAATTTATTTTAGCAGTGGGGTAGTCTTTTCCTACTAAGACAATATGTCAAAAACTGGCATCTGTAATAATAAAAATTAACACTTTAAAAATAGTCTTATTTTAGTATGACTAGAAGATAAGTCAGATTTCAGAGCAAAACGGTTTATATTTTTAATTCCATATGTAATTCTACAGAGGTTTGTTTATATACTATCATCAGTTAAGATCACATTACTCCCCCCATTTACTAGTGTATGAAACCTCAACTGCTATGCAAAAAGAAAATTTAAGTACAGAAGTACACTATCTAGCTAAGGACCTGTCTGCACACAAACTGCAACTGAAATAACTAAGGCATAGTCTACATTAGAATAAGTTTACTGGTACAGCTATACCAGCAAATCCTCCTACTACAGACACAGCTTATATTGGCAGAAAAATGTTTTTACTGGTGTAGCTTATACCAGTTCTCCAACCATAAGCTATACTGGTAAAAGCACTTTTATCCTAGTATATCTTTACCTACAGTAGGGCTTTTTTGGGTAATGTAAATGTTGCAAAAAACCCACATGTCCTTAACCAACACTAGCAAAAGAGTGCAGTGTAGACTGGGTCGGAGTTGGCAGTTACTTCGGTGCACATCAGCTTGGAGACTCTTATTGCGGACTGAGCGTGTCCTATTTACATTTAATTTACCGTGGCAAACAACAATACATCGTAAAAAGAAAAGGAGTACTTGTGGCACCTTAGCGACTAACCAATTTATCTGAGCATGAGCCTTCGTGAGCTACAGCTCACTTCATCGGATGCATACCGTGGAAGTGAGCTGTAGCTCACGAAAGCTCATGCTCAGATAAATTGGTTAGTCTCTAAGGTGCCACAAGTCCTCCTTTTCTTTTTGCGAAGACAGACTCACACGGCTGTTACTCGGAAACAATACATCGTAGTGTCAATACAAAGCCTTCAGTTTCGGACCATTCCCCTCACCCCCGTGCAGCCCACTCCTGACGGCCCCTGCCCCACCCCGCACACGACAGCTCGGGCTCTACCGGCTACGCCTATCCGTAAGCGGGCACAGGTCACAGACAGGCACACGGATCTCCCCCGCCAGACCCGAACACGCAGCGACCCTGTCCCCCGTGCCCCCTTCTCCTGCCGCCACACGGGCCGCCCTGCCCTAGCAACACGCGCCCCCCGTCTCGCTCGCCCTTTGCGTCCCCGAGGGGCGGCGGCTGAGGGGGCAGCGCTCACCGATGGTGGAGATGAAGGTGGCGTTGAACGCATCCTCGGAGAAGCGGAAGAGCGCGCAGGTCTTGCCCACGCCCGAGTCCCCGATCAGCAACAGCTTGAAGAGGTAATCGTAGGTCTTCGCCATGTTCCACCGGGCTGGGCCCCGCCCCTCCGGAAGCATCCGCCTCTCGCGCAGCTTCACAGGATGAGACTACTGCCCCTCACACCCGCTGCCTGCTCTTATTGGCTAGTCGAGGCATGCGTCACCTCACATCCCACCCTGCCGGTTCCCGAGCAGGAAGAGCAGAGAGCCAAAGTCCCATTGGTGGGGCGTCTTGCCGAATGTGTAACCTGCTCCCGGATTGGTTGGCTGCCTTGCTGCGTGTTGTCATTCCCGAGGTCTTTCGCTGGCGGTGGCGGTAGTAGGGCGAGGCGACGGCCAGAGCCGGAATAGCTCGATGAGCCTTATGGTCCTGGGCCGCCCATGCCTCCGTGGGGCCGCCCTCCCTCTCCCCGGGGTGTCTGGGGTCGAGCGAGCCGAGCCCAGGTCTTTACCAGCCAGCGGTCCCTGTGCGGGGGGGGGGCGGCTCCGGTTGGAGTTTCGTAGCGAAACCGGCTTAGTCGAGTCTCACTGGCCAAGCTGAACGGAACGCAGGGCTCGCGGCTGACCCACTGCGGGCTCCTTGCGCTGTTGCCGCCTGCGCGTGTCGGGGACGGGCAGGGCCACGGGCTGTGTCTAGGAAATGGGCTTCTCACGCTGGCAGCCGCTGCTAAACCTTCAGGGTGAGATCGCGGGCTGAAAATGACCCGACATTAGTGCTAAAGCTTTAATTTTCTAGCTCTGTGTGCGGCAAGTCCTGTTCACTCGCGCTTTTGCCGGGAAAGTAGTTGAGATTTTTGTTCTTTAAAACGCAGTGTATTGGCATGTTACTGATTCTAAGGGCTTGTTTATACTGGGAGGTTTTTGTAAATTATGTTTCTGTGGTGACCGGGGGAGGTCTCGGAGGACTGGAAAAAGGCTAATGTAGTGCCCATCTTTAAAAAGGGGAAGAAGGAGGATCCGCGGAACTACAGGCCAGTCAGCCTCACCTCAGTCCCCAGAAAAATCATGGAGCAGGTCCTCAAGGAATCAATTCTGAAGCACTTGGAGGAGAGGAAAGTGATCAGGAACAGTCAGCATGGATTCACCAAAGGCAAGTTATGCCTGACTAATCTAAAAGTTGCCTTCTATGAGGAGATAACTGGCTCTGTGGATGAGGGGAAAGCAGTGGATGTGTTATTCCTTGACTTTAGCAAAGCTTTTGACACGGTCTCCCACAGTATTCTTGCCAGCAAGTTAAAGAAGTATGAGCTGGATGAATGGACTATATGGTGGATAGAAAACTGGCTAGATCGTCGGGCTCAACGGGTAGTGATCAATGGCTCCAAGTCTAGTTGGCAGCCGGTATCAAGGGGAGTGCTCCAAGGGTCGGTCCTGGGGCCGATTTTGTTCAATATCTTCATTAATGATCTGGAGGATGGCGTGGATTGCACCCTCAGCAAGTTTGCAGGTGACACTAAACTGCGAGGAGTGGTAGATATGCTGGAGGGTTACAGAGATACCTAGACAAATAGAGGATTGGGCCAAAAGAAATCTGATGAGGTCAAGTGCAGAGTTCTGCACTTAGGATGGAAGAATCCCATGCACGGCTACAGACTAGGGACCGAATAGCTAAGTAGCAGTTCTTCAGAAAAGGACCGAGGGGTTACAGTGGATGAGAAGCTGGATGTGAGTCAACCGTGTGCCCTTTTTGCCAGGAAGGCCAATGGCATTTTGGGATGTATAAGATGGGGCATTGCCAGCAGATCGAGGGACGTGATCGTTCCCCTCTATTCGACATTGGTGAGGCCTCATCTGGAGTACTATGTCCAGTTTTGGGCCCCACACTACAAAAAGGATGTGGAAAAATTGGAAAGCATTGAGTGGAGGGCAACAAAAGTGATTAGGGGGCTAGAGCACATGACTTATGAGGAGAGGCTGAGGGAACTGGGATTGTTTAGTCTGCAAAAGAGAAGAATGAGGGGGGATTTGATAGCTGCTTTCAACTACCTGAAAGGGGGTTCCAAAGGGGATGGATCTAGACTGTTCTCAGTGGTACCAGATGACAGAATGAGGAGTAATGGTCTCAAGTTGCAGTGGAGGAAGTATAGGTTGGATATTAGAAAAAACTTTTTCACTAGGAGGGTGATGAAGCACTGGAATGGGTCACCTAGGGAGGTGATGGAATCTCCTTCCTTTGAGGTTTTTAAGGTCAGGCTTGACAAAGCCCTGGCTGGGATGATTTTGTTGGGGATTGGTCCTGCTTTGAGCAGGAGGTTGGACAATTTATCTCCTGAGGTCCCTTCCCAACCCTGATATTCTATGATTCTATGTGCACTAACTATTGAAGAATAACTGTTACAAAATAATTGTGTCCACATAGCCAGCTGTCACTTATTTCCCTCCAAATGTGTACAGAGTCACAGACTTTTTCAGAGTAAGTGCTCAGCATTCTAGACAAGTATCCTATGGTGCTTTGTTAGGTTCTGTGCATTGTGAGACTTTTCTCATAGGTCACTGTGGGAATGTGGGATACCTCTAGGAAGCCACTGGAATTCTGGGAATTGGGATCAAACTTGCAAATTCCCATGATTCATCTCCTGGTTTATCTCATGTTTCATCTGGCTTTTGTGAGCCTGTTCCATTTTCAGACTGGGCTAGGGATCAATGCTGCATGCTGTGGGAATGACAGCTGTTTGCAAGAGGCTCTTGTGCATGTGTTTGAGATCACGCTGCTGGATGTCTTTTGCTTTGTAGGCAAGCCACCATGCTGCTGAACCAGTTTGGGTGAAGGAGGAGGAAACGGAGTAACAACTTGTGAATGAACTTTTCCTGGAGCAGCTTCACACAGTGCAGTGCCATTTCTGATATGAGAAGACTAATGGTGACTAGTGGGAAAGGATAGTGATCCAGGCCTGGGGTGACAAGCATCTGCAAAAGAAGTTCAGGCCACCTGCCTAGAAATCTTCACAGAGCTGCACAGTAACATGAGAGCTCCTAGAGAAACGTGGCTGTTACCATCTGGAAGCTCACCAACCCTGATTGCTCCTCATCAGTAGCTAAGCAATTTGGTTTTGGTAGGTCAGGTTGACTGTTGGGCTGTTGTTATGCAGGCATGCACTGCTATGAAGAAGGTGTTGAAACACTGAGTAATAATATTTTGGCAATGTGCAGGAGATTATCAGTTTACACGCTTAAGGTTCCTGAATTGTATTGGGACTGTTGATGGGATCTGTGTGTCTATTCCTTAACCTCGCCACAAGGCCTCGTGTTTATAAACAGAAAGGGCTATTTCTCCAGGGTATTCCAAGGTCTGGTTGATCATAGTATTTGGTTCACCAGTATTAATGTGGTGTGATCTGGAAAGGTCCCTGGTGCTAGAATCTTTAGAAACTCACACCTCTTTTCCTTCATGAAAAATGGAACTTTTGCTTCCAAGACCACTGTAGATATTGATGGTTTTGCAATTTCCTTCTCTCATTCTGGGAAACCCAGCTTCCCTGGTTTATAAAGACTTTTATTTAGGCACCTGGGCAGGAAAAAGAGCCTGTTAAACTATAGCTGGGTACCTGCAGAAAGACAGTGGAGTATATGTTTGGAAGGCTGAAAGGAATTTGGTGCTGTCTAATGATTAAAATGGCAGCTACAGAGCAATATCTGCTTCATGTAATAACTGCATACTGTATTTTTCAGAACAGCTGTGAAAATAAGGGAGATTGTACCTCTGACTCCCCCCACATCAGAGGCTGAGACTGTCGGAGCAAAACAAACTGCCAGAGAGGCTTTCCCTCTTCAAACTGCAGCCAGTTGCCAGGGCCACAGGGTTAAGGGTGCTTTGTGCTCCTACATTGAGGGTAGGAACTGAAATATTTTAATCATATTATGCTTTGTGGCAAGGGTTCATTGTTTTGTAGTTGCTTCGTGTGACAGTTTGCTGAAAGTTGATTTTTTGTTTTGAGATTTGCCATTTTATTAAACTTTGAGCTTTTGTCAAGCAAAACTTTAACAAACATAGAGGGATGAAAACAAAAAATTGAATGTCTGTCCCAATTTGTAACCCTGGTAACAAACAATAATACATTGCAAATTTCAGCTCAATAAAATATGTTGAGTTTTGAAAAAATACTCATTTTTAAACTCTGCAGATACATGGATAGCCTGCCTGTAAGTGCAGAGTAAACATGATTGTACAGGATTTCTGGGTGCTCTTTCCCTTCATATGTGGAATGGTGAGAGCAAAAGCCATTGTTTGTAATTGTGGGGATGAAGGTGGGTTCTCAGAATTCAGTGTTTTCACTCTCCGGGGATGTGGTGTGTGGAGGAAAGTGCCTGATAGATTCTGGGACGTGCAGGTGCTGCTCTCAGGAAGCAGTATTGTCCACAGGCTGCAGGATATGTCTGGGATGTGACTGTAGTATTGGGTGTGAAGATGGCGCTCTAAGGGTCTCCAGCAAAACTGCTTTGTCATCAGTTCAATGAGCTGGTTTTGCATATCATAGAGCTTTCCTTTAGTTTGCCTCATCAGTTCAATGGTCTCTCTGCGATGAAAACTCCTCTCCAGTCTTCTGTCGTCTTGGTGCTTTTCTGGACTGCAGCTCACCCCACATTTCCTGCTTTGTATTTCTTTTCTTGCCCTGGAGATTGGCCACATGATCCACAGTAGATAATAGTCCAGTCAGTTGGGAGTTACAGGACTTCAGGTGCAAGAGGTGGGGGAACTGAGAAACAGAACAAGTAGTTATTGTACTAATTCCAGTTTTCATGTCACCAATGATAAAATTGATTTTTCCTCTCTTTTGGAATGCCATTTCCATAGCCTTTTGCCAGTCTGGAGTGACTCTGAAGATGGTAAGATGTTTTATTTGCTTTCAATTCTACTTTATCTCATCTCCAACATGCACAAAATGCACTGTAAAATGAAGAGTTCTGCAGTAGTTGTTCAGAATGTACAGGGTTAACATAGCTGGAAGGCTGACTTGCCTTATCTCTGCGTTCTGTTCCACTTTGAGGAAATGTATCTCATAAAATGCTGAGATAGCTGAAAGCCCAGGGCATTGCACAAATGGTGATGAACAAATGTCTTTTTTTTTTCTTTAAATATTGCCTTATTTTTATTGCAACTAGTGTTTCAATGAACATGGTTACTTTATAGTATTTATTTCTTTATTTAAATCCTAGTTGACAGGGGAAGGGCTAAGGCATAGCGGTTGAGGAATCTGGAATGTGAAAGGAGACCATAGTGGTGGTGGCGGGGGGGCAGCCCAGTGGGCTATTAATGTATATGGTGGGCAGCAAACAGTCATGCCATTTAAAGCCCCAGGGGGTGTTTCCAAGCTAGTAGGCACAGAGAGGCTCCTAGATCTCCTCTGTCCACAGTGGCATCATCTAGCAGGCATCCATCTAGCAGAGGATTGGTCCTGCTTTGAGCAGGGGGTTGGACTAGATGATCTCCTGAGGTCCCTTCCAACCCTGATATTCTATGATTCACACCAAAAATTTATTCAACTCTCCTATACAGTTATTTAATATAGCACAAACTTACTCGCAGAAGTCTCCTCCTCAGGTCTGTCAGACTGGGTGTCCACCTGGCTTTTAGGAGCTGCATGTTCATTTGACTCTGCCTCAGGCTTTTGTGTGGGAAAGAGATCTTGGCTTTCAGAGGAGCTCTCTTCCTTCTCCTACCTAGAGTCCTGGTTAACACTGGACAGTGCCAAAAGGGATGACACGGCAGACCCATGACAAATGAGATTTGGTGGTGGCCTCACAGCAAATATCTGATCAAGATGCCATAACAGTAGAAGACACACAGGAAAACAGACAGGTCAGGCCTGGCATCATGCATTGCAGCATGAGATAACAGTGGGAGGACTGCCAAGTCAATGTGAAATAGATGCATCCACACATATCTTACTTTGCACTAACTCATTCCTTAATTAACTTAATCTACCTTCAGAAGGGATTATCTTCTTTGTAAAAAACTGGACATTTAAATTGAAAGAAGAATTGTATCATGTGGACAATAGGCACTTGAACTAAAAAACCCACAAGTTACTGTGAAACCCCTCTTCCTCCTAAACACTAAATTATATGTCTCTGCCAGGCCATTCAGCAAAATTAAGGCAAGTCAACTAAGGGTGGGAAGTCAATGCACATGAAGTACATTTAACCCCCGGGGATGCTTTCATTCAGGAGTAAAGCAGTCTACGTTTCCTGTAACTTAGTCCTCCTAAGGTTACATTGCTCCTGAATTCAAACATCTACCTGGGAATGGAGGTTAACACACTAAAAGTTTCAGAGTAACAGCCGTGTTAGTCTGTATTCGCAAAAAGAAAAGGAGTACTTGTGGCACCTTAGAGACTAACCAATTTATTTGAGCATGAGCTTTCGTGAGCTACAGCTCACTTCATCGGATGCATACCGTGGAAACTGCAGCAGACTTTATATATACACAGAGAATATGAAACAATACCTCCTCCCACCCCACTGTCCTGCTGGTAATAGCTTATCTAAAGTGATCATCAGGTGGGCCATTTCCAGCACAAATCCAGGTTTTCTCACCCTCCACCCCCCCCACACAAATTCACTCTCCTGCTGGTGATAGCCCATCCAAAGTGACAACTCTTTACATAATCAAGTCGGGCTATTTCCTGCACAAATCCAGGTTTTCTCACATCCCCCCCCCCACCCCCATACACACACAAACTCACTCTCCTGCTGGTAATAGCTCATCCAAACTGACCACTCTCCAAGTTTAAATCCAAGTTAAACCAGAACATCGGGGGGGGGGGGGTTGGAAAAAAACAAGAGGAAACAGGCTACCTTGCATAATGACTTAACCACTCCCAGTCTCTATTTAAGCCTAAATTAATAGTATCCAATTTGCAAATGAATTCCAATTCAGCAGTTTCTCGCTGGAGTCTGGATTTGAAGTTTTTTTGTTTTAAGATAGCGACCTTCATGTCTGTGATTGCGTGACCAGAGAGATTGAAGTGTTCTCCGACTGGTTTATGAATGTTATAATTCTTGACATCTGATTTGTGTCCATTTATTCTTTTACGTAGAGACTGTCCAGTTTGACCAATGTACATGGCAGAGGGGCATTGCTGGCACATGATGGCATATATCACATTGGTGGATGTGCAGGTGAACGAGCCTCTGATAGTGTGGCTGATGTTATTAGGCCCTGTGATGGTGTCCCCTGAATAGATATGTGGGCACAATTGGCAACGGGCTTTGTTGCAAGGATAAGTTCCTGGGTTAGTGGTTCTGTTGTGTGGTATGTGGTTGTTGGTGAGTATTTGCTTCAGGTTGCGGGGCTGTCTGTAGGCAAGGACTGGCCTGTCTCCCAAGACTTGTGAGAGTGTTGGGTCATCCTTTAGGATAGGTTGTAGATCCTTAATAATGCGTTGGACCAGCAGGAGAGTGAATTTGTGTGGGGGGGTGGAGGGTGAGAAAACATGGATTTGTGCTGGAAATGGCCCACCTGATGATCACTTTAGATAAGCTATTACCAGCAGGACAGTGGGGTGGGAGGAGGTATTGTTTCATATTCTCTGTGTATATATGAAGTCTGCTGCAGTTTCCACGGTATGCATCCGATGAAGTGAGCTGTAGCTCACGAAAGCTTATGCTCAAATAAATTGGTTAGTCTCTAAGGTGCCACAAGTACACTAAAAGTTATACACATTGACTGCATGACTTCAGTTGATTCACTTTAATTTTCCTGATTGTCCCTTACATAGACCGCTCCTTAGAGGTATTGTTAGAACTAGATGTAGAATCGACAGAAATCCCAGCTGCTTCCATTGGCATATATTTCCCAGTATCACTCATGATTGGTACTAGTGGGAAAGCCATCACAAGCACTGATGGATTTTATTGCACCAATTACAAAAGTACAGCAAAAGAAAAATGGAGCATGGATCATACATTTATAATGCTAGAGATTCCCTTTCTAATTTATTATTTATTTATAAAACAGTTCTTTCAGAGTTCTGATTGAATTATAAAGGTTCCAACCCAGGCAGTTACAACTAGACACTGAGAAGCAAAGGCCTAATTTTCAGAAGTGTACTAGACATAGAATCATAGGACTGGAAGGGACCTAAGGAGGTCTTCTAGTCCAGTCCCCTGCACTTAAGGCAGGACTAAGTATTATAGAGACCATCCCTGACAGGTGTTTGTCTAACCTGCTCTTAAAAATTTCCAATGACAAAGATTCCACAACTTCCTTAGGTAATTTATTCCAGTGCTTAACTACTGTGACATTTAAGAAGCTTTTCTGATGTCCAACCTAAACCGCCTTTGCTGCAATTTAAGTCCATTGCTTCTTGTCCTATCCTCAGCGGTTAATGAGAACAATTTTCCTCCCTATTCATTGTAACAACCTTTTATGTACTTGAAAACTGTTATTATGTCCCCCCTCTGTCTTCTCTTCTCCAGACTAAACATGTCCTTTTTTTTTTTTTATTTTCAGTCTTCCCTCATGGGTCATGTTTTCTAGAACTTTAATAATTTTTGTTGCTCTGGACTTTCTCCAATTTGTCTACATGTTTCCTGAAATGTGGTTCCCAGTTGGTCCCCAGTTGAGGCTTAATCGGCTCAGAGTAGAGCAGAATTACTTCTTGTGTCTTGCTTACAACATACCTGCTAATACATCTCAGAATGATATTTGCCCCTCCAGCAGTGTTACCCTGTTGACTTGTATTTAGCTTGTGATCCACTATGACCCCCAGATCCCTTTTCACAGTACTCTTTCCTAGGTGGTCGTTTCCTGTTTTGTATGTGTGCAACTGATTGTTCCTTCCTAAATGGAGTACTTTGCATTTGTCCTTATTGAATTTCATCTTATTTACTTCAGACCATTTCTCCTGTTTGTCCAGATCATTTTCAATTTTAATCCAATTCTCCAAAGCACTTGCAACTCCTCCCAGTTTGGTATCGTTTGCAAACTTTTTATAAGTGTACTCTATGCCATTATCTAAATCATTGATGAAAATATTGAACAGAACCAGATCCAGAACTGATCCCTGAGGGTCCCCATTTAATATGCCCTTCCAGCTTGACTGTGAACCACTGATAACTACTCTCTGGGAATGGTTTTCCCATCAGTTATGTATACACCTTATACTAGCTCCATCTAGGTTGTACTTCCCCAGTTTGTTTATTAAAAAGTCATGCAAGACAGTATCAAAAGCCTTACTAAATTCAAGATATACCACATATACCACTTTGCCCCCTATACACAAGGCTTGTTACCCACTGGTTGGTCAAAGAAAGCTATTAGGTTGGTTTGACAATTTGTTTTTGACAAATCCATGCTGACTGTTACTTTTCACCTTATCTTCTAGGTGTTTCCAAATTGATTGCTTAATTATTTGCTCCATTATCTTTGTGAGTACTGAAGCTAAGATGACTGGTCTGTAATTCCGTGAGTTGTCCTTATTCCCTTTTTATAGATTGGCACCATATTTGCCCTTTTTCAGTCCTCTGGAATCTCTCCCGTCTTCTATGACTTTTCAAAGATAATCACTAATGGCTCGGATATCTCCTCAGTCAGCTTCTTGAGTATTCTAGGATGTATTTCATCAGGCCGTGGTGATTTGGAGACATCTAACTTATCTTTTCCCTAGTTTAGCCTCTGATCCTACCTCAGTTTCACTGGCATTTATGATGTTAATGTCCAATCACTACTAAATTTTTTGGTGAAAACTGAAACAAAAAAGTCATTTACTACTACTTCCATTTTCACATTTTCTGTTACTGTCATGTCGTGTCCCCACCCCATTTAGTAACAGGACTACCCTGTTCTTGGTCTTCCTCTTGCTTTTAATGTATTTGTAGAATGTTTTCATGTCTCTAGCTAATTTAATATCATTTTGTGCCTTGACCTTTCTAATTTTGTCTCTCCACACTTGTGGTGTTTGTTTATATTCATCCTCTGTAATTTGACCTAGTTTCCCCTTTTTGTAGGATTTTAGTTTCAGATTATTGAAGATCTCTGGGTTAAGCCATCGGGGCGGGTCTGTTGCCATACTTCCTAACTTTCTTATGCATTGGTGTAGTTTGCTCTTGTGCCCTTAACAATGTCTCTTGGAAAAACTGCCAACTCTCTTGAAATGTTTTTTCTCTTAGACTTGCTTCTCATAGGATCTTACTTACCAACTCCCTGAGTTTGCTAAAGACTGCCTCCTTGAAATCCATTATCTTTATTGTGCTGATTTCCCTCCTACCATTTCTTAGAATCATGAACTCTGTCATTTCATGATCACTTTCACTCAAGCTGCCTTCCACTTCCATATTCTCAACCAGTTCCTTCCTATTTATCAAAATGAAATCGAGAACAGCCTCTCCCCAGTAGCTTTTTCCATCTTCTGAAATAAAAAATTGTCTCCAGTATATTCCAGGAAATTGTTGGATAATCTGTGCCCTGCCGTGTTATTTTCCCAACAGATGTCTGGGTAGTTGAGGTCCTACATAACGACCAAGTCCTGTGCTTTGCATGATTTTGTTAGTTTTTTTTTTTAAAAAAGCCTCAACCATCTCTTGTTCCTGGTTAGGTGATCTGTAGTAGACCCCTACCATGACATCACCCTTGTTTTTTACCCCTTTTATCATTACCTAGAAACTTTCAATAAATCTCTCCTATTTCCATCTCAATGTCAGTCCAAATATATATATTTGCAGCCCCTGTTGCTTTTAGTTTGAAGTGTGGGTTAGAAATATGAATGGCCATACTGGGTCAGACCAAAAGTTCCCTTAGCCCTGTGTCCTTTCTCTGATGATGGTCACTGCCAGATGCTTCAGAGGGAGCGAACAGACCAGGGCAGTTATTGAATGATCCATCTCTGGTCATCCAGTCCCAGCTTCTGCCAATCAGGTTGACTGAGTGCCAGAAGCTGGGGCGGGATGGTCTGCACCTCAAGTTAGGGCCAGGTTGCTCATTTCAGTGTGTGAAATTTAAGCAAATACAAAGTGTGAGGGGGTGAGTTATATTTGCACCAGGAATGCTAAGCCTTTCCTGACTATTGTGCCTTTCAAATCTCAACCACAATATTGCATTAATTTTTTTTTTGTATTCATGATGATCATTTCCCAATGTATTATTTGAATAATTCTTTCCTCCCCTATTTGTTGACATCAGGCATAAAGACTTCATGCAGAAAAACAGAGTAGAATTTATCTTTTTTTTTTTTTTTTTAAACGACAGCACAAAATACCTTAATAGTTCAAATATGCCAGTTGTCTTACAGAAAAGCACTGTTTGGTTGGTTTTTTTTTTTTTTTTAAGCTTCAAATCTAAAATAGGAAGTATGCATTTGGCCAAACTTGCAGAGTCAGATTCAAGGTCATACATATGTGATGAATGTTTGTTTCTTTTCTTGAAACAGAAATCCAAGATATACACATTTAAAGTCTTAACTAGGGTGTTCTAATATACTGAAAATTTAGAGTTACTAGATTTCACATTTCCTTACTCAAGATAAAACCCTTCTCAATTTCATCCCTTTTTGGTATGCTAAATAGTTCTTCATCCCCTGTTTTCACACTCACCCAGTCTCTGTAGATTTATCTCCATCTTCTACTATGGCCATTGTCGTCATTTAGATTAAGAGCTCTAAATATGCATGGTTCAGCTTCGTTATAGGTCACTTTTCAGCCTCCTGGCCATTCTAGTTCTCTTTTCTGAGCTTCCTTGCTGAGGTCCTTCCCATTTGTCAGTTTAATGAAGTGTGCAGAATGAAACAAAATATTCCAGGTGTGGTTACTAAAGTGTTGTATGCAGAAGGATTATTACCTATGTCCCATGGTGTCATACGCATACAGCTGAAAACTGAAAAGTATTTGGATATTTTCTGATCAGAGGCATTAGCTTGCTGTTAACAGGCATTTCTTTAAGTTCCTTTGGATTACTTCTCCCTTTTCACTGGTGTGTGCAACTCCTGTGAATGCAATGATGTTACTTCCTCTTGAATAAGATCAGACTGAACAGATTCCTGTAGTTTTTCACAGGACACTTTGTCATTTATAATAACTATTTAGGGATCCACCAGACAGTTTACAATCCACATAACATTGTCCTTAATCAACATGCAAATATCAATAGAAATATCTATAAATGACTGGACACTATTAAATGAATATCAGACAATGGGTGTCATATTCGATTGTAATTAAGTCTTTGATTCAGTGTCTCTCAAAATTGCACTCAAATTCAAATCTGCTTGGACAGGAACAAACTAGCTAAAATCCTTCTGTTCAAGGAGTAGTTGATTTGAGATACTAGTTATGACAGCATTCATCAGTTTACATCCCATTTGTGGGTAGTATTATTTTGATGCAGCGCACAAAGGGGCATCAGCAGCATAGCAAGTGTATCTGTGGATCTGCTTTTGCTGCCTCAAGTTGAGTCTTTGCACAGTTCCTGTTTGTATGCTCATTATAGTCACTGCTGTCCAGGAAATAAATAACCACTGAAGTAATAGGAGTGCTATAAGTGGGATTTATATTCATTTTTTATTTTGTCCTACCTGCCACTTTATTTGAACTTTCTTCCAATTTTGTTATGTGACCCATCACTTACATTTTAACTAACAACTGGATAGGTTTTTGGTTTTTAAAGAAGCAATCCGAGTACAATGAAACTAATTCTCTTAACAGTATCCTAGTGAGAATTACAGGGCTGTGCTAAAATCTGACCAGAACAAATTAAAGGAAGGACATTAGTTATGTCATTAATCATGGAAAAGAAAAAAAGCACAGAATGTACAAGTTCAAGGTAGCTTGCTTTTGTTTAATTCAGTTTTTACAGAAAAAGACTGAAGGACTAGTACTAGGCATTACTCAGAGACTGGCACTAAAGACAGAATCTTAGTGCACCAAGGCAAAGCCAAAAGAGAAAATTCATTTACAAAGAGGTCATATCATTGAGAGCATGGTCAAGCTCTTCACTGATAGCTTTGTACTTCAGCTTCTGAGCATACAGCTCATCTGCAGGTCGAAGGGCCCAAGGCAAGGTGTTCAACAAGAAATGTAGTAAAACAGTCCACAGCAAGAGATGCATGGTAGAGAATATGGAGAACAGTTGGAATGCAGCAAGTGAGGATGAACGGTGGAAAATAAAGATGAGAAGAAAACATGTAAATAAGATAAGAGAACATTAAAATATAAGGCAGAAGCTATACACATGTACTAACTGCTAAAATGTCAGGAGTTTCAATTTCTTACTAAAAATTTTCAGTGGAGTTTTAGAAAAGATTTAGAAGCCAGATCTTCCTACTGTCACAGCTGAGTCAGATAACAAACCTTAAAATAAATTCTATTCCTATAAATTAAATACAGTGGCCCCTTGATTAGGTGCAGTTGGTATACAGGGATGAAAATAGTTGGCTAAAGGTAGCTTTTAGTTTTGATCATTTCTTTTTTGAAAGAGAAGGGGTGAGTAGAACTTTGGCAACTAAATGTCATGTCATAATTCCCCATTTTCTGGACAGCTGAACTGTTTTTTTGGTGCTGCTTCTAACCTGTATGACTTTAGCTTTAATTTTTGCCCATTCCCAGATGTGACATTTATTAAGAGTATCAGAGCTGATGAACAAAGGTAAAGAGATCAGGAAATCTGAGCAGTCTTCATTTTAAACAGAGTTGTCTGTTTAAATTCTCCTCGACCCCTTAACTTTAGGTGACTTTTAAATGGAAATATAGAATTAAACTGAGAACTTTGGTTCTCATTCTGTTCTCAATTATGAAATTGTCCTTGTTATCCACACAGAATTACCAAGCAGGGATTTTATTTCTTCACTGTGAGTTTTATAATTAGATTGATTGAAGAATGGTAGGAAAATCTGTCGTTCAAGTGAACTGATAGAAATGGGCAATACTGATGAAGACACAGCAGGTAATCACCAAAGCTACTGACTAGCTATAGATGGGCACGTAATATGGGTAAATGATTATTAGCTAAATGACCCTGTTCAGAAATGAGATTAGATACATATACATATTTTCACTAGAGCTGTTGATTAATTGCAGTTAACTCGGTGATTAAATCAAAATTAATCACGATTAATCACAGTTTAAATCACATTGTTAATAGAATACCAATTGAAATTTATTAAATATTTTTGGATGTATTTTTCTACATTTTCAAATATATTGATTTCAGTTACAACACAGAATACAAAGTGTATAGTACTCACTTTATATAATTTTGATTACAATTATTTGCACTGTAAAAATAATGAACAAAAGAAATAGTACTTTTCAGTTCACCTCATACAAGTACCATAGTGCAATCTCTTTATCGTGAAAGTGCAAAATGTAGATTTTTCTTTTTGTTACACACTGCACTCAAAACAAAACTATGTAAAACTTTAGAACCTACGAGTCCAGTCAGTCCTACTTCTTGTTCAGCCAGTCGCTAAGATAAAATCATTTTCATTTACGGGAGATAATGCTGTCTGCTGTTTATTTACAATGTAACCTGAAAGTAAGAACAGACTTTCACATGGCACTTCTGTAGCCGGGATTGCAAGGTGACTTACATGCCAGATCTGCTAAACATTCGTGTGCCCCTTCATGCTTTGGCCAACATTCAAAGGATTTGCTTCCATGCTGATGAGACTCATAAAAAAAAATGTGTTAATTAAATTTGTACAATTCTCCCCAAAGGAGTTCAGTACGTCTCCTGCTCTGTGTTTTACCCGCATTCTGCCATATATTTTTTGATATAGCAGTCTCAGATGATGACCCAGCATGTTGTTCGTTTTAAGAACATTTTCAGTGCAGATTTGACAAAACTCAAAGAAGGTACCAGCGTGAGATTTGTAAAGATAGCTACAGCACTCGACCCAAGATTAAAGAATCTGAAGTTCCTTCCAAAATCTGTTCGGGATGGGGTGTGGAGCATGTTTTCAGAAGTCTTAAAAGAGCAACACTCCAATGCAGAAACTACAGAACCCAAACCACCAAAAAAGAAAATCAACCTTTTGCTGGTGGCATCTGACTCTGATGATGAAAATGAACATGCGTTGGTCTGTACTGCTTTGGATTGTTATCGGGCAGAATCCATCATCAGCATGGATGCATGTCCTTTGGAATGGTGGTTGAAGCATGTAGGGACACATGAATCTTTAGAGCATTTGGCATGGAAATATCTTGCAACGCATGGCACTGTTCTCACTTTCAGGTGACATTGTAAATAGGAAGTAGGCAGCATTATCTCCCATAAATGCAAACAACCTTGTTTGTCTTAGCGATTGTCTGAACAAGAAGTAGGATTGAGTAGACTTGTAGGTTCTAAAGTTTTATATTGTTTTATTTTTGAATGCAGTTTTTTGTGTGCAGAATTTTACATTTGTAAGTTCAACTTCCATGATAAAGAGATTGCACTACAGTACTTGTATTAAGTTAATTGAAAAATACTATTTTTTTATTTTTACAGTGTGAATATTTATAATAAAAAATAAATGATCACTGTTCATTTTGTATTCTGTGTAGTAATTGAAATCAATATATTTGAAAATGTGGAAAACATCAAAAATATTTATATAAATATTCTATTATTGTTTAACAGTGCAATTAATCATGATTAATTTTTTAATCGCTGGACTGCCCTATTTTTCACCTATAGTCATGGTTTCTGCTGCTTACATTGCTTTGTTATTACTTGTTGCATGTGATCTCTGGGAAGGAGTGGTAGCTATTCCATTCAGAAGAGATGCTAGCATAGCTTCTGGGATTGATACACTGTCCTTTTTGTTGGAACACCATCTCAATTATCCTGAAATTTGGGATCTCGTTTGCTTTTGGACCCAACCATCTGTCTCCAGACTAGTATGTGGCCCTCATATCTCCAGATTAGCTATCACTATTTTTCTACAGAGAGCTAAATTTTGAAAAATGTAGTTCCATCAATGACTATTAGCCAGGATGGGCAGGGATGGTGTCCCTACCTTCTGGGGCACCTGGCATTGGCCACTGTTGGAAGACAGGATACTGGGCAAGATGGACCTTTGGTCTGACCCAGTATGGCCGTTCTTATGCTCTTATGATGTTCTTCAAGCAATTTACAGGAACAAAGCCCAGTACTGAACAATATGTCTACTTGTATGAATCTTGTATGCATAGCTTTCAGTTTGCAAGGGACAACTTTTTTGGAACTCCTCCAAGAACACTGATTTAGTCTAATGATAGTCCCAATGACTGGCTTAATCAGAACAAAATGAATATAAGTTCAGCTACATGGAGGCAGGGGACACATTCACCCCATGCCAAGGGATTAAATGGTGTTTAACAAGTATAGAATCTGTAATAGTGTTTTAAAGAAAATGTTCAGTAGAGCATTCTGTCCTATTAAGAATTCAGACATATTTTAAGCGTTCACTTCTTAATCAGGACAATAGGCCATCCACAGAGGCAGATGATTCTACAGTACTACCAAGTGGATGAAGTTTTAGGGGAAAATTACTGAGAAAAAAGTAAATATTATAGCATAACTGTGTTTAATGGTCTAGCTACAGATAATTATAGTAGTATAAAGATTTCCCCCATAATCTACAAAGAATACATAGTGCTAGAATTTATTGTTTCTCAGTTTGAAATTGATGGGACTTGTAAAAACAGTAAAAATTTCAAAAGTAATTTCATACCTTCCAGATCATCAATAGTCTTTTCCAGTTTAGCAACCGTTCTTTCTGCAAACTCAGCACGTGTTTCAGCCTGGAAAGAGATTATGCAGAAAAAAAATTTAAATACTGGATGAGAAACAATCTCTGTTTCTGATGTTGCACTCCATATGATTTTATGAAAATATGCTAATGAGTGTGAATATAATGTAACTGGAATATGCTTCATGCAAAAGGTCTCTTGTAAGGTATCATTACAAAGTTTATAATCTACTGAGTGTGGTCATCCTATTTGTATAAATGTATCATTCTTGTATCTGAAACTAGAAATATGAAATATAACTCTGAGCTCCTATTGTAATTATGCAAAGTGTTGGCCATTAATGACTATTTGGAATCTTGATGGCTCCCATCAACTAGGACAGTTGGTTGTAAATGGCTCTGTTTACTTGCAAGCCTTCCTGTGAGTCAGGCCAGGAAGAATGAAGGCTTGGGGTCTCACAGGACATGTGAACATGTCACATGATACTGGAATCCATCTTTAACCTGGTGCTTTCCCATTTAGAAGGGGGGGAGGACCCATAGACAGACAAAGGGTTCTCGCTTTGTGCCAAAGCTATAAAAGGGGTGGAACAGAACAAAGAGGCTGCAGTCATGAGAAATCTCCTAGTTACCACCTGAGCTGGAGCTAACAAGGATTGCACCAGGGGAAAGGATTGGGCCCAGACTGGGGAGGAGTCTAGTCTGTGAAAGAAGCTTATTGGAACATCTGAGGGTGAGATTTACCTGTATTCAGTTTCTTAATGTATTAGGCTTAGACTTGCATGTTTTGTTTTATTTTGCTTCGTAATTTAGTTTGTTCTGTCAGTTATTACTTGGAAACACTTAAATCCTACTTTTTATAGTTAATAAAATCACTTTTTCTTATTAATTAACCCAGAGTAAGCAATTAATACGTGGGGGAGCAAACAGCTGTGCATATCTCTCTATCAGTGTTATAGAGGGCGAACAATTTATGAGTTTACCCTGTGTACGCTTTATACAGAGTAAAACAGATTTATTTGGGGTTTGGATCCCATTGGGAGCTGGGTGCTGGAGACAGGAGCACTTCTTAAGCTGTTTTCAGTTAAGTCTGCAGCTTTGGGGTGTGTGGTTCAGACCCTGAGTCTGTTTTGGAGCAGACTAGCGTGTCTGGCTCAACAAGGCAGGGTTCTGGAGGCCCAAACTGGCAGAGAAAATGGGCTCAGAGGTAGTCTCAGCACATCAGGTGACAGTCCCCAGGGGGTTACTGTGATCAAACCTGTCACACTGGATAAGAAACAATCTTTGCTGAAATGCAAATTCATTGGGATGGATTGTCTCACCTCCTTGAGTTTGTCAGAGAGAAGCTTGATTTCTTCTTCATATTTATCCTCTTTTTCAGAGTACTGTGGAAACAGGGTGAACAATCTATTAAGGACCTGGTAGGAAAACTAAAGCATCAGACAGTTTAACTTTTTTATTAGGCGACTGTTAAGAGTCATTGACTAATAACAGGTAGTAGCCTCCTGTCATTCTAAAATGCTTTTCCTTAACTATCATTCTGTTTCCTGGATGCAGCTGTGTCACTGTATTTCTTGAGGTTTCTTGTTGGCCCACTGTCAGAATAAAATTCTGAATGCCTTGTCTTTTGCTTGAGGGCTATATTCTGTGCCCTGGACTATGGCTCCACTTACATATAATAAAAAGTGGAGGGGTACGTGCGCGCACACACACACACACACACACACACACACACACACACACACACACACACACACACACACACACACACACACACACACACCCCCCCCCCCCCAAGTAACTCATATCCTTGAAGTAATTCAAACCATCCCATCCCCCTGGAACAGGCTATTCTTCACCAAGTGATTTATTTTCAAACCCCTTCTCAAAAATCAGTTATTTGGACTACAGTTCTATCTTTAGTCTCTACTCAGTATCTGCGCCCATTCTGGTACCCAAATACTTGAATTAAGTTGTCAGAAGACACAAGAAGCATATGTAAAGTTGGTTACCATCCCCCAATTTTGTTGTTCTTGAAGAACGTCCTACCAGCTGTATTCTCTTTGCTTTTCCTTTACACTTCATCCACCATGGCTCATCATTTGTCAAGTTCTGTTTGAACTACTCTTATAAGCTCCTCAGGGCAGGGATCATGTGAATTTCAGTACAGTTCCATGTACACCTATCCAGCTATATAATATAACTTCTAAGAAGTTCAGGAATGAACGAGATATATTCCTATCCTGTTAGTCTTCTGTGCTAGAAAAACTTTGTAAGTGATGCCAGCAAACAGATTCAAAAGTAAAAAGTGTGGGTAATTTGGAGTTAAGACTCTAGTAGCACAATGCCCTGTACTATATGTGCCTTTCCTGAACGTGTTTCATTCCCCAAAACTCAAGTATTGGATTAACCAAGAAATGCAAAGTTCACTCCAAAACCGCCTTACAAGGGTGTTAACTATTAATAAATACACCAAAAGATATCAACCTCCCTCCCCAAAAAACCCTCTCTCTCAACTACAAACAGAAAAATGGGCAATGCACGGTAAGATGACACTTCCCATACAATACCGTGCTTCATTCTCTCTTCAATTGCTTGACCCCTGCTCCCCTATCCATACAACTTTGTGAAATCATTCATTATCAGTTAACATAGCCTCAGAGTATTATGTAAATTGGTTTGTCTTGTGACATACCCTGGGTCTAATATGTTGCACAGCACAAGGGATTTGTATGCTAATTCCACTCAATTGGATCTCCGGTCAGATTGTCCTAGGACCCCTACCACAAGCAAACGTACTGGCTTTCTACAGAAGATTTTTTGGCATCAAATTTACCTTACACACCAATTCTTCCAATAATTCCTCAATTAATCAATACAAAAAACATGACAAGTTTTCAAATTCCTCTTTTTTTGTGATTGTTGTAAACTTGTATCACCAACTCTTCATTCTCCTTGCTGAACCTTAAACATTCTGTGTTCTTAACCAGGAAGAACCAACCTTCTCAGACTGAGCCTCCAGGGACTTTAGGTTGTTAGTGACATTTTTTAGTTCTTCTTCAAGGTCACTGCATTTTCTACACAAAGACAAAGGTGATCAAATCAGTTCTTCTACATATATTATGCTGTTTGGTTTCCAAATGGGCTAAACAAGTAAAATGTGAGCCAACTTGTCAGATACACTCAGTGCACTAAGTTGGTGTACATGGCATTTATAGTTTCCCAAAGTATACTATACAGACTGCATTTAATAGATTTTTGTAGCAAAATATAGCTTGTTAGGAATTCAAGCAGAACAAATAAGCCTTTCTTGAATCTTAAAGCTCCATGCTCTCCTCTGTGAACAGTTATCTTCTGTTAATTGTACCAGGAATTTAATTGGACCGTAATAATGGCCATACTGGGTCAGATCAATGGTCCATCTAGCTCAGGGGTGGGCAAACTTTTTGGCTTGAGGGCCACATCTGGGTGGGGAAATTGTATGCAGGGCCATGAATGTAGGGCTAGAGCTGGGGCAGGGGGTTGGAGTGTGGGAGGGAGTGTGAGGTGTGGGAGTGGTGCAGTGTGCAGGAAGGGGCTCAGGGCAAGAGGTTGGAGTGCAGGAGGGGGTTCAGGGCAGAGGGTTGGGGTGCAGGGTGCGGCAGGGGGCTCAAGACAGAGGGTTAGGAGGCTCAGGGCAGGGGGTTGGAGTGCGGGCTTCAGGGTGGCAGCGGCATGCAGCAGGGTTAAGGCAGGCTCCCTGCCTGCCCTGGCCCCACGCTGCTCCTGGAAGTGGCCAGCATGTCTGGCAGTGGCTCTTGGGGGTGGGGTGAGGTGGGGCAGATGGCTCTATGTGCTGCCCTCACCTGTGGGTACCACCCCGAAGCTCCCACTGGCTGTGGTTCCCCATTCCCAGCCAATGGGAGCTGTGGGGGGTAGTGCTTGCAAGTGAGGGCAGCACACAGAGACTTCTGCCCCCCTTTCTCCCAGGGGCCGCAGGGACATGGTGCCTGCTGCTTCTGGGAGCAGTGTGGGGCCAGGACAGACAGGGAGCCTGCCTTAGCCCTGCTGTGGCATGGGGCTGGCAATCCTGCGGGCCGGATTGAAAGCCCCGATGGGCTGGATCCGGCACCTGGGCCGTAGTTTGCCCTCCCCTGATCTAGCCCATGATCCTGACTTCCAACAGTGGCCGGTGTCAGATGTTTTAGAGGAAATAAACTGCCTTGTTTCATTCATCAAGTGGTCCATTCCCTGTCATCCAGTCCCATCTTCTGGCAGTCAGAGGCTTAAATACACCCAGAGCATGGGGTTGCATCCCTGACCATCTTGAGTAATAGGCATTGATGGTCCTGTCCTCCACAAACTTATCTAATTCTTTTTTTAACTCAGTTATACTTTTGGCCTTCAAAACATCCTTGGCACGAGGTCTACAGGTTGACTGTGCATTGTGTGAAGAAGTATTTCCTTATGTTTTAAACCTGGTGCCTGTTAATTTTATTGGGTAACCCCTGGTTCTTGTGTTATGGAAGGAGTAAATTACACTTCCTTATTCACTTTCTCCACAGCATTCGTGAGCATGCCAGTCTCTCAGATCTAATAGGATTCCCATCAGGGAATTGTTTGAGATTCCAGGATGACAGGAAACTAAAACTTCTAAAAAATATTTGAAATTTCCATTCTGCAAGAAATTCCAGCTCTAAATAGTGGCAACCTTTACATTAATGAGATACAATACTTGGATCCCACAGTGATGCTACTATGAAAACCTTGAGATAAGGCTCTACATACTGTGCCGGACCAGACTAAGGGATGTGATCCTGTGGAAATCCCTTCCCCTCCCCCCTGCATTCAGAGAACAGTTAGGACCTAATAAGGTCTTTCTATCTCTAGTCTGATATTCCAAAATGATTTATGTACGTGCAGAACCATTCTGAACAGCCACTCACAGTTCTGACACCTCAGCACGTTCCTCGGCTCTCTCTAGTTCACCCTCCAAAATGACCAGTTTACGAGCAACCTGTAGAGAGAGAGGAGAATTATTTTTTCCCCATTTGTTTTCCACAAAGCCCCACATCTCTGCAGGTTTCTTTTTTATCAAATAAAGGTTAGAAGCAACACCGGTCTGGAGATATGCAACATATAAACAACACATTACAGAGATCTGGTGTATGCTCTGTTGACACCCTGTAATCAGCTGCTAAGGAGAGTGAGCTCAGTGCAGGATCCCTTCCCCAGAAGCCTAGAGACTTTCCAATGTTCCTAGCATTAGGCAGCGTAAAATGTAACAAGCTCATTTCATGTTAATTCTCAGGCTGTTAGGAACTGCATCTTTGTGGCCTTGCTGTGCCCAAAAATATATTCCAACTACTTGAACTACCACTTTATAGAAAGTATACAAATAGTATTAAACAGACTATACGACTTTTTGAAGTTCTTCCAGGTAGTTTCTTTATTACTTTCTCACCAAAGCAAATAGCACCTGCTACTTCCTTGCAGCGCCAGTTTTACCTCTTCATATTTACGGTCAGCCTCCTCAGCAATATGCTTAGCCTCTTTCAGCTGCATCTCCTGAATTTCCATTTTTTCTTCATCCTTCATTGCTCTGTTTTCAATAACCTTCATACCTCTATAGAAGGAAACAAAGCGGATTGTTTCAGAGAGAATGGGGTTACTACAAGCCAGTCAGCACATTCAGCCTAATAGGCCTGTTGTGAACTTCTTAATATCTAACTACTGTGACTTGAACCCAAACCAATCTATCATGTTCTGACTGGCTAACAAAGTTGCTGATAATACTAGTTGGAATGAATCTCTACTTATCAGATTGTCTTAACAGTGCTTGCAGCTATTGAATGATGCAGGATTCTTCCTTAGCTTATTTGTGCTTCTTCCATTTAGCAAGATCTTTAAGTAGATTTAATGATACAAGCAAATAAACGTAAACGTATTTGAGAGATACCAGTGGGAACTTTTCTTTTTAAAACCTTACTCAAGTTTGTGGTCCTTAGAATAATTAGGTAAAGAGGAAATAGCTAAAAACAAAATAGCTAAATACTCTTCTCTGTGGCTTTACCCACGACAAATATTAGTTCATTCAAGACAAACTATTCAGGCCGGGTTTTTGTTTAAATATTGAGAAATGTTTTCTTAGAGCTCAAATTTGGAGCAGTTTGTAGACTATTAGAGTAAAATAATATCAAAGGCCAATGTAAAATCTGTTGGATACAACTTTTCCCCTCCCAACTCACGGCAACTAATAAAGTTTCTGGACTCTAGCCTGCTGAGCCAGGGAGCCCTGAAGCAGGGGTGTTGGAACTACAAGGACTGGGGTGTGTAGCAGCACCCCCTAGCTTGAAGTGGTTTCCATCATATACAAGGCTTACCGTTTTGTTCAATGGCTTTCAGCACTCCCATCATAAAAATTGTTCCAACGCCACTGCCACCAAGGCTCATAAGCATATAGAATTCAGAGCACAGCTTTGGTTCTAGAAACTGCATTACCTTTACAGATAGCAGATCCAGCAAAAAAACACCAGGTTGAAGAAAAGCCCTTCTTCTGAAGTAAGCGTTCTGGTCTCAAACTTCCATACCCACTGCCTGAGATGCTTGGGTAAAGCATATATATCTGCTCAGCGCACCCTCTGCCATAAATTAGCCAACCAGGCCCTTAGGCACTGGAAGTCTCTTCTGTTGTCTATTGATTGGGGAAGCCTTTAGCATTTTAGGATAGATGTGGAGTCGCAACAGATTATAAGCCCAGATAGTGGAATGTCCACACTACATACAGCCTCTAGAAGGGGATACATAACATTCTTTGACAATGGGATGCACAGCTATTTGCTAGACAGCAGTATAATCTTGGATTCTATTTCCCTAGGAGGGAAATATGGGTTGATGGTTAAAGCAAGGGACAGAGTCAGGATTCTGATTAGATGCTGTTTCACTTGAGTGGATAGGCAAAACTATGTTACAAGTATTTTTACAAACAGCATAGTCAAACACAGAGATTTGGCATATTAATTATAAAATGCATTGTGTCTAAGTGCATGAAAATTGGGTTCTATTACCAAAGCTGCTAGCAGTGACCTGGTGCAATGTCACAGATCTTCAGTTACCTCTTCTGCAAAATAGGGTGGTCGATCTGTATCTACTTCAAAAGGTAGGTGTATGAGGAGTTGCTCAATAATAAAAGGCTGTAAGTACATGGAATCATTATTGATCAATGGAAGAGGTGAGACTAGAATGTGTGGTCTCTTGGCTCCCAGTCCAATGCCCTTCTCCTTAGGTCAACGAGTATTTTAAGGGGGGAAAGCAGAGCTCCAAACAGGAGCCGGCGTAAATGCTGTGCATATTGTATGCATATGATACAGAAAGTTCAGCAAGGTCTGGGAGCCTGTGCAGCTGGAATGTTCAGAAAATTAAGAGCAAGGATATAACAAGTTATACAGTGTATATGCAAATTATGATTTTTCTGTATTTGTAACTGCCAAATTTCAATATATTTTCATGGAGACAACAAAACACCTCCAATCTCAGGACCACTCTGCTGCCAACTTTAAAGTTTTTACCCCAAACTTTAGAGAGACACAAATGTTAAAACCATCAGAAATGTTATTTAATATGACTAGTTCTCACTGTCCTCATTCTTGGAAACACTTTGGTCATTTTTGCTCAGACTTTCAACCAACCTGGAAGCTTTCAGTCCAAATCCTAAGCAATTGTCCAAGTAATAGGCAATCGAAAACAGAGTTCTAATAGAAAGATTTGTGCAGTTTAGACATTGAATAAGTATATATTATAGGTGGAGCAGTAACAAGCAGTATTAAAACAGTTAAGGGCTCAGTTCAGTTCCCACTGAAGTCAGTGACTGACTTCAATGGAAGTTGAATCCAGCTATAAAATAATTTGAGGGGCAAAGTTAAATGGTGTTTGGGGCTAACAATTGAGAATTCTTCTATTTTAATTATCTGACTGCATGAACTGAGTGTTAAGAGCTGCATCAGAATTCTTTGCAGCCTTAGCTTGAGATTTCCATGTGGGTTAGTGATGCGTTCAATGGAAACGTATTCTCTTGAATTGCACTCAGCAACCTTAGCTGTAACTTCATGCAGTTTTATGTTTAATTTTTATTATAGTATCATAGGAGTATGCATAGTGCTCAAGAGGTAAATAAAGATACAGTTTTTCCCAGTGGAGATAACAGGCTTTGTTACAGCAAAATGGGACACAAGTTACAGTAGATCATGGTGGGAAAGAAATAGGTTACACAGCTGAAGGGGAACAGGACAAGGGAGAATACAGCCCTTGGGAAGTCTAGCTTCCCCAAAGGGGCAGCTGGGATGTATATGATATACTGCAAGTTTTGTCATTTTTTGGATGAAACGGGAAATGTCTAGACAATGGGAACAGCTTATTAACCAGTTACAGAGTTGGTACAGTATCACTTTTGTGATTGTGGCCCTTTATTTCTCACAGTACTAAAAGTAGCATCTGAAAGAGTGAGTGGGAAACGGAACTTAAGTGCACCAAGTCTTTAAAACCTACAAAGACTGTTAAAGTATCCTACTACTGGGATCTTCTGATGTAAGTCACTTCTCTGCATCGTTCCTTTTGGATGCCTACCTCTCGCTTTCATCTGCTGCCTTCTCTGCCTCCTCCAGTTTCTGCAGGGCTGTCGCCAGACGTTCTTGGGCACGATCCAGCTCCTCTTCCACCAGCTGGATACGCCGATTCAAAGCTGCCACTTCACCTTCTGCCTATGCAAAACAATCAAACAGCACTGGTTAAATAAAACCCAACTAGCTAGACACCAATAATTCAAAACTGATCACCTCTAATTACTTCATTTTTCACTATTTATATGCATGGAATTCTAGGAAGAGATGTTTTTTAGCTATATAACTATAGGAATTTGAATGTTTTTTTTAAAAAATACACCCGCACCTTCTCTTCCTCATCACACAGAATTAAGCATTAAAAATCTGTTTCACAAGAAAAACATTTTCAGCTAATTGTACTGTGGAGATGGGAGGTTCTACATGTAGAAATCTAGTTGGAACTTTTTTCTTAATTTTCTAACTCCCAGATGGCTCAGTCCAGAAATTCCACATTTGACTTATTGTGTTGGTCTTGTCAAAGATCCTAACTAACCCTAGCTTTGGATGGCTTGCTAATGGAATTTAGTTAAAGCAACTTCTGTGTACATTAGGGGCTCCACTATCTATAAATCTCACATAGTTCATAAATAGGGATTGGCCAGGGGATGGCCTGGGAGCCATCAGGGGAAAGTTACTCGTCTGTGTTGAGTGCATGTGGCACAGCAAGAAACTTTCCAAAAATAATTCCACTTTGTTTTCTACAACTTCTATATAGCCCTCTGAGACTGGGCGGAGAGGGGAGGAAACAGGAGATAGGGAGACAATCTGGGGCCCATGGTGGAAACCGTGGGGGCTGGTCTGATGAACTCTTCTTGTTGCTAGAACTCCTGTCATTTATGCAGCACTTGAATTTTTTTTTAAAAAAATATGAAATTCACATCCCAGTGAAAAAACGTAGTAGGCATCTTGCAGTATTGAGTTATATTAATATCTAAGATAACCCAGTCCTGCAAGAATGTTCAAAGAGACAGATCACTAATTCTGATCCCTCACATCTCCCAGATGCCTCTTGTGACTTGCCAGAATCTTTCAGAAGGATTCTCCAATGGCATAAAGTTTCACTTGTGAAATTCAAGGCAGATGAATGTGGTTTAGCTTTGATTAAATTGGGATGTGGAAAGTCAAATTTAAATTTTGTTTGGTTATTGAATCCAAAACTGACATTCTGAAATTCCACTTTGTCTATGAAGAACAGTGCAAATGTATTTTTTAAATGTGAAACAGTTTGAAATACTGCTCTTTAAGCCATCCTGTTTTTGTTTTCGGCATAAAGGTTTGGTGAAAAATACTGGACAATATAGTGGTCTTGGGAGAAAAAGTTAACACAAAGTTTTGCTATAAAATGAGACAATAAATTTTTTTACCATAATCTAAAAGTGTTTTATCAAAAAGCACATACGCTTCCTGCTATATGGATAGGTTTTTCTAAATCACTTACCTTCTTCTAATAATCTGGAAGGAAAATACTATATTTAATTAAATACTTATATGTCTTGTTGGTCTAGGACAGTGTTCCCCAAACTTCTTACCTTGCATTGCTCTTTACCCAGTCTGTGCCCCTCCCTGGGCTGGGAGTGGAGCCATGGCTCCGGGAGGGGGTGGGGACGCAGACGGGGTAAGGTGGCCAAGGCTGGGGCTGGCAGCTAGGGCCAGGAGCTAAGCGGGGTGGCACTCCCTCCCCGCCCCCTGTGGGGACTGATCCAGGCCCCAGCCATGCCCCCCAAACATTTGTGGCCCCCCCCAGGGGACCTATGGTGTAGGAGGTATATCAACAATATTGCCTTCAGCAGCAGTTCTAGGATTCAAATCTCCAACTTCTTAGGATGGCAAGTTGTCCCATACTGGAGACATCTCATTAATGTAGAGTGGTTTCAGAGAAAGATAAATTAAATATTACAGGGTTGGAGTGTTTGGCGTGAAGAAAGATTTTTAGGTACTAAATATGGATAGTTTGGGCCCAACAGTAATTAAGGGAATCCGAAGGTGCAAACAGGAGACAAGGGAGGGTTTACCTAGCAGACGTGGTTTGAAAGTGAGCAATAAAATACACCTCTACCCCAATATAACGTGACCCGATATAACACAAATTCAGATATAACAGGGTAAAGCAGCGCTTCGGGGGGGGCGGGGCTGCGCATTCCGGTGGATCAAAGCAAGTTCAATATAACGCGGTTTCACCTATAACGCGGTAAGATTTTTGGCTCCCGAGGACAGCGTTATATCGGGATAGAGGTGTATCAGGAAATATTTCCTAACAATTAAGTCTTTTTAAAGACCGTTGAATAGTCTGAGAAGTAGTTAAAGCCCCATCACTGGAAAGCTCGCAAGTAAACAAGGCAGTGGAGAAATGTTGTAGGCAACATCAAGACAAGATGATCAAATTAATCCCTTCCATATATACTTCTGAGTAAAAGGAACTATATTATTAAAACACAGACTGGAAAAAAGCAAATAACTATTGGCTCGTGGATTTTTGTATGACGGGAGCTAGAGTGCCTTCTATTTTCCGAGTGCAGTTTGGTCATTAAATTTTTCTAATCACAAGTCAGTCAGAATTTCATTTGTTCTCTTCTTAAGTGCTATCCATTGAATGTGCAGATTACATACAAAAGCCACTATCTTAGAAAAGACATCTAAAGCAATCCAGCACTGATAACCTCCTTCACTAGATGCTTTCATTTTAAGATGCAGTGTTAATGAAACAGGATTCCAACCTGTAACAAGAATCCTCCAAAGATAGGGTTGCCAACTGTCTAATGACACAAACCCAAACACCCTTACCCCACCCCCTGCTCCGAGGCCTCGCTCCTTCCCCAAGCCCCCCTTCACACACACCCCCGCTGTGGCGGGGGGTTGGGGTGCAGGATCTTGGCTGGGACCGAAGGGTTTAGAGTGTGGGAGGGGGCTCCGGGCTGAGCCTGGGGCAGGGAGCTGGAGTGCAGGAGGGGATGTGGGGTGCAAGCTGTGGGAGAGAGTTTGGGTATTGGAGGGGGCTCAGGGCTAGGGCAGGAGATTGGGGTGTGGGAGGGGGTGAGGGCTCTGGGAGGGAGTTTGGGTGCAGGGGGTTGGGGTGCGGAGGGGGATGCAGGCTCTGGCCAGGAGGCACTTACTGCCTTAGCCCCACTGCGCTGCTGGACTTCTAGCACCTAAAATCTCCCAGTTTGGCTCCGGGAGATAGAGTCTGATTCTGGGAGACTCCCGGCGAAACCGGAAGGGTTGGCAACCCTACCTAAAAACAGGGATATGTGGCTACTTGAAAGTTGGAGACAGTTAATTTGACCCCACTTTTTTTCAGTTAAAGCATGCCACGGTCTACAAAGGATTTGCCTTATATAGTAAAAGTAATTCACTGGATCCATGTGGTAAAAGACCAAGAAGATCCTGAGAGGGCTAATCACACACAAATGTATGAAACCAGCAGTCTCACTCCAGAGCGCATGGGGAGCATTCTTTACATGCTCTGAGGCTCACAATAGTGGATAGGGTGACAGACATCCCGATATTAGGGACTTTGTCATATTTTTCACACTTGCTATCTGGTCACCCTAATAGCAGAGGGGTTGCTCTATTAAAGTCCGTAAGAGTTAAGTTATTTTTCCAGCATGTTCAGATTTTTTCGACCTATGTTAAAGTAACATGTAGTTGCAGAGAAGGAGAAAATTGCTTGGAGCGCTCCTTTGACAGAGATTTTATTAAACTGCACATTCATATTCTGCTTGTAACTTTAGCTTTCTACTTCCAAAAAGCTACTTAAAGGGAGCAAGTTATCCAGCTGGAATAAATGACAAAGGAAAGTGAATGGAAGGACTTCATCAGCCTCTGCATGAAGAAAAAGAAAGTCTGTCCCATGCTCCCCAGGAGGGCACGTGGTGGTGGTGAGGCTGGAAGGGACCTATTGGAGGAAGAACAGTTTCAGCAACAACGCAGTGCTGCGCCCCGGCAGTGCTGTGCCCCAGCAGCAGAGGGATAGCTCAGGAGTGCAAAGGGCTACAGATCAGGCCATTTCCCCAGGGCTGCTTCAGGCACTCACTGAATGTAGGTATCAGTAAAGCACTTCAGTCAGTCTGAGGTCCAGGGAAGGTTTGTGTGAGAGTGCAATTACAGGAATTGGCTGCATGTATCCTCAGAGTTTCTTGTGTAAGAATTCAAAGTAAAGATCACCAGGTAATCTGGTTTGATCTCCTACACACCACACACCACCCAATCACCTCTGCATTGAGCACAGCAACTTGGATCAGACTCTCCTGGCCTGCCTATTCTCAGCCTGTGGCACACAATGGTTTAGTCTCCCCCTGGAAATAGGCTGTCCAAGAGAGGTGTCTCTAATGTAATTGTGGGTTTGTCCAGCGTGTTTGGGTCGTACAATATCTGGATGGTAAGGTAAGCAAACTGCTACCGTAGATGGGAATGTAAATTTAACTGATAATGTGCTTGATTTTTTGTGATTGTGTCAGTGGGATTTGCACCTGACCAGCCTTAACTCAGAGGGCCAGATTCTCACCCATGGCTGAGGAAAACAGGAGTGCAAAGTGTCTTTAAGCTACCAGTTCTAGGGCCCTTCTGTGTCAGGCCAATCCTCCTGTCAGGTTGTTCTTACTTGTATCAACTGTCAACAGTCCCAAGGACCATTATGTCAGTTGGGGATTACTAGGGTACTTGGAACCCCCCCCCCCCCCCCCATGTTCCTTGTGCCAGTAACAGGGAGGGGTAACCATATAGGAAATGGCTCTAAGCTATCTGATGGTCCTACACAGGGGAACATCTCTTGGAAATAAATAAGCTAGTTTTAAGATACTCTTGTGGTGGTGGATCAGCAGGAAGCTTCCTAATGCAGCAACAGATGTAACCCTAGACAACCAATATCGTTTTTTTGTGGGGGTGGGGAGTTATGTACCTCAACCATAACATAATTGTCTCTGCCTTTTTCCTTTTGGCAAACTACTGCAATAAATTAACACTAAATGAAATATACAACCAATATACTGTGTGTTGTAAAATATACCATTTCTAGTTAGTTACTCATCTGCATTCTATGCAGGTACGTACATCTGTTGCCTTCTTTTCAGTCTGTTCCAGTTTTTCCTGAGCATCTTTGAGAGCTTCTGAGTATTTATCCAGTTCATCTTCAGTTCCTTTTAACTTCTTCTGCAGTGCCACCAGCTCATCCTCTACCTTTTGAGAAAGAAAAATAAGTTGTGAACATTCTGACACATTGGTTGCTCTGCTTATAGATAAGGATAGCCAAAGACTTCTTCCTACTATTTGTTTTAAATTATGTTAAGCTTTTTTTAAAGTGATTCTATGGAGAGATATCGAATTGTGGATTTTTCAAAGTTGCTGTGTAACTTCAGTTGTCTAGATGCCAAGTAGCCTACACAGTTTTACACTATTTTAATAAACCTAACATGGCAGCTGAGCAGGCCATTTGGCATTCACATAATGAACATAAGAATGGCCCTACTGGGTCAAACCAAAGGTCCATCTAGCCCAGTATCCTGTCTTCCGCCACTGGCCAGTACCAGGTGCCCTGGAAGGAATGAACAGAATAGGTAATCATCAAGTGATCCATCCCCTGTCGTTCATTCCCAGCTTCTGGCAAACAAAGGCTAGGGACACTATTCCTGCCCATCCTGGCTAATAGCCATTGATGGACCTATCCTCCATGAATTTATTTAGTTCTTTTTTGAACCCTGTTATGGTTTTGGCCTTCACAACATCCTCTGGTAAGGTGTTCCACAGGTTGACTGTGCGTTGTGTGAAGAAATACTTTCTTTTATTTGTTTTAAACCTGCTGCCTATTCTGAAACCATGCTATATCCATATTTCTAAACCGATTTAGCAAACCTCACCTATGAGGAAAAATGTTTAAAATATTAATTTTTAGACTGAGTGGGGACCTGATAACAGTCTTCAAATATATTAAGGGCTGTTATAAAGAGGATGGTAATCTGCTGTTCTCTATGTCCGCTAAAAGTGGCACAAGAAGTAATGGGCTTAATCTGCAGGAAAGGAGATTTAGGTTAGATATTAGGAAAAACTATCCAATTATAAGGATAGTTAAGCACTGGAACAGGCTTTCAAGGAAGGTTGTGGAATCCCTGTCATTAGAGGCTTTTAAGAAAAATAGATAAATACCTGTCAGGAATGGTCTAGGTATACTTGGTCCTGCTTCAGCATAGAGGGCTGAACTACATGACTTCTTGAGGTCCTTGCCAGTGCAACATTTCTATGATTCTATAACTCAGCTGTTGTAAGTAGGCATAACTCCATTTACTTCAATTTAACTATGACAACGTACACAAGTTGAGAATCTGACCCCATACATCCAGGGATTGAGTAACCCTCGATATTGCCCTAGTCTGAAATAAAAAATTATGCTAGCACAGTGTGCTCCTCCTCAGGGAAGGCAGGGACAAGCTTATTCCCATCACTGGCATTCTACCTACAGTACTGTCATTGAATCCCAAAAATAAAGAAAATGTCATGTATATATGAAAAATGCATTGCACCCATATCCCTGAGTTCAGGGAGACTCTTAATGAAACATACATTTGAAACATGTTATGAAAAATAAGTTCTGTGTATGTCTTTTACTCTTTTGACTGTGTTGCCCTTGTTTATAGTCTACAGTCCACTTGGTCTGTATGTAAATACAACACTGGATCTACTGTCTCCTTAACAGAAGCAAGAGGATAGAGAATGAATCACAGAAGTACAGGTATTAAGTAGAGTAGTGTTTAGAGTCCATATCTCCCTTAGCAAGCACTGCTACACTTCACTTGGTAAACTGAGGCATTGCTTGAAATATGTTGAATATGATCAGGGCAAATGTGTTATCTGAAATACAGAGGTACCATCCATTCACTGAGATACAGTTATTTTGTTAGATTTGATGGTAATAACATTATTTTCCTAAAGATTCATAGCTTTAAACCACATATGGTTTTCCAATGGAAGGAGGGACATATGGGTCATCCAAGGTATGTTCCATTTTATCTCATTATCACTCGACCATACCATATAAATCCACACTGTATTCTAAAAAGGTGCTATTTATATCCTGCTGGGAGACTGCCAGATGACAGATTCCCCCCTGCTCCCTGGAGAATTTCTATTATCAAGAGACTTCTTGCTGATAACATAACTGGTGTGCCTGCAGCCTGTCTGATCTGTCATTGAACTCGTAGTACCACCTTTGTTCTATTCTATCCTGGGAATAGTAATTAATTGAGGAGAATGATGGTTTAACTCATCCTTTGTATAAGTTCAGTCTATTAAAACAGTTAATTTAAACCATCTTTATGTGTGTGTTAATTTTTAATGCAGTTCTTTTACTTTAATTGTAGCCTGGAGGATATCTTTATGATTTTGGTTAGCATGTTGTGTACGCACATTGTTATACATTTCTGTACTTATGCTCAAAGTAGCCTGCTGCTGAGGAAAAAAGGGCTAAAATAATACTAGGATATATTAATGGGAATATCGAGCAAGAGTAAGGTGATATTACCTCTGTATATGGCATTGGTGAGACTACAACTGGAATACTGTCTCCACACTTTTAAACAGAAAGTTGCAAAATTTGAGAGTATTCAGAGAAGAGCAATAACGATTTGTGGTCTGGAAAATGAACCTTACAATGAAAGACTAAGGGCTGTTTTGCTAGCATTTTTTACCTTTTTTATTGCCAGTTGACTCATGGTAGTTAATGCCTTTATAAAGACTAATCTGGACAGTTCACAAATGTTTGTGGTTTATACTAAGTTGATCCCTAAAGAAGTGCAAGATATTTAGTATATAAAAGAAAAGGTTAACCAACGATTTAATCGTGGTCTATAAGTTCCAGAATAGCAAGATCCAGGGGCTGTAAACTGAAGTCAGCAAAGTTCAAGCTAGAAATAAGATACAAATTTTTAGCAATGAAAGTAATTACCCATTGAAACAGATGAGGGGTATGCTGAACTCTCTATCACTGGTAATCTTTAAATCAAAACTGGATAATTTTAAAAATGTTACACTAGTTGACTTCAATTTATTGGGTTGATGCAGGATGACAGCTTGAAATACTATAGTCTGAGTTTTTTATGAGGTCAGACTAGGTGATCATAATACTTCCTTAATGCCCTTATACTCTGTTATAATCTAAATGCCCTTGGAAAATATTAAAAACTACAATTTAAAAAATTTAAAATCCAACAATTTTACCTAACACTCTAATAAATACGACAAAGCAAAGCAAATAAATATTCCTTCCACGAACACCATAATTACCACCCTCTAAGTCATTGAATCTCTCTGAGCCTCAGTTCCCCATACACTGAAGACAACTTAACTGGGTACTCAGATACTATAGAGATTGGGGGGCATGTAAGTATTCCCAGAAATCATAACCAGAAGATTAATACTGTGTATAAAGTAGGGCAGTCAAATGAATAAAAAATGAATCGCGATTAATCGCACAATTAAACAAAGGAATTGCGATTAATTGCGCTGTAAAACAATAATAGAATACTATTTATATAAATATTTTTGGATATTTTCCACATTTTCAAATATATTGATTTCAATTACAACACTGAATACAAAGCGAACAATGCTCACTTTATATTTATTTTTATTATAAATATTTGCACTGTAAAAATAAAAGAAATACTATTTTTCAGTTCACTTAATACACGTATGTAGTGCAGTCTCTTTATCATGAAAGTTGAACTTACAAATGTAGAATTATGTACAAAAATAACTACATTCAAAAATAAAACAATGTAAAACTTCAGAGCTTGCAAGTCCACTCAGTCCTACTTCTTGTTCAGCCAATCACTCAGACAAACAAGTTTGTTTACATTTGGAGGAGATAATACTGCCCACTTCTTGTTTACAATGTCACCTGAAAGTGAGAACAGGTGTTCTAATGGCACTATTGTAACCCGCGTTGCAAGATATTTACGTGCCAGAGGCGCTAAAGATTCATATGTCCCTTCAACCACCATTCCAGAGGACATGCGTCCATGCTGGTGACGGGTTCTGCTCAATAACAATCCAAACCAATGCAGACCAACACATGTTCATTTTCATAATCTGAGTCAGATGCCACCAGCAAAACATTGGTTTTCTTTTTTGGTGGTTCAGGTTATGTAGTTTCCGCATCAGAGTGTTGTTCTTTTAAGACTTCGGAAAGCATGTTCCACACCCCATCCCGATCAGATTTTTGGAAGGCACTTCAGATTCTTAAATCTTGGGTCAAGGGCTGTAGCTATCTTTACAAATCTTACATTGGTACCTTCTTTGCAGTTTGTCAGATCTGCAGTGAAAGTGTTCTTAAATGAAAAACGTGCTGGGACATCATCCGAGACTGCTATAACATGAAATATATGGCAGAATGTGGGTAAAACACAGAGCAGGAGACATACAAATCTCCCCCAAGGAGTTCAGTCACAAATTTAATTAACACATTATTTTTTTAATGAGCATCATCAGCATGGAAGCATGTCCTCTGGAATGGTGGTAGAAGCATGAAGGGGCATACAAATGTTTAGCAGATCTGGCATGTAAATACCTTGCAATCCCGGCTACAAAAGTGCCATGTGAACATCTGTTCTCACTTTCAGGTGACATTGTAAATAAGAAGCAGGCCACATTATCTCCTGTAAACATAAAGAAACTTGTTTATCTTAGTGATTGGCTGAACAAGAAGTAGGACTGAGAGGTTCTAAAGTTTTACATAGTTTTGGTTTTGAGTGCAGTTATGTAACAACAAAAAATTCTACATTTGTAAGTTGTGCTTTCACGATAAAGAGATTGCTCTATGGTACTAGTATGAGGTGAATTGAAAAATACTATTTCTTTTGTTTAGCATTTTACAGTGCAGATATTTGTAATAAAAATAATATAAAATGACCACCGTACACTTTGTATTCTGTATTGTAATTGAAATCAATATATTTGAAAATGTAGAAAAACATCCAAAAAAATTTAATACATTTCAATTGGTGTTCTATAGTTTAACTGCAATTAAAACTGCAAATAATAGCAATTAATTTTTTAAATTGTGATTGTAATTTTTTTGAGTTAATCGTGTGAGTTAACTGTGATTAATCGACAGCTCTAGTATAAAGATTTTTTTTCCTTTGGAGGTGTCTTCCATTCAGCTGTTTGTTTCCTCCCCTTCAGATCTCCTGTGCACAAAGCCCATAATATGGTATCTTTTTTTCTAGCATAGGGGGACACTGGACAATGTTCCATCAGAAGCTTGTCATTATTATTCCTTGAGTACGCTTGATCAGTCACTTCAGAGTGACACAATGGTAATTTCTGTCTTTGTGCTGTGCATGCTGGGAATACATTTTGTTCTCTTAGACTAGATCAGTGTAATTCAAGAGTAATTACAGAAGTAGAGGTACTTATTCTGGCTTAATACTGGTGTAATTGAGAAGAGAATTTTTGCTGTCTCAAGCCATGCTCTCAGACTCTGCTGACATAAGAATGGGGGCTCAGATCTGAGTCCTGTTCTCAGATTTTCCACATTGTGCCACCATTGGGCAGGCTTTTTCTTTTATATTTTTTAGCTTCTTTTTCATTTACAGATACAAACAACTTTCCATTATAAAAGTTTGGTTTTATTGTTTATCACTTTGCCAAATTTTAACTGGGATGAATTTTTGCATGCCATGTGTCTACTACAGGCTGAATTTTTTGGGAACATTTCAGCCAAAACAGTTCAGCTGCTTCAGAGAATAAGAATATGGAAAAATACATAATTTTGCCCTTGATAAAAATACTGACAAACCTTTTATGTGAGCAGTTCTAGCACCCCATGTTTTGGAACAAGAACTTGAAATTTGTTAGGGTAGGTGGCCTTTCTGTCAGGGATGTACCTTTTGCAGTCACATTGAAAATCTACCTAAATTTGGCGACGTTATAAGTCTTTGAAAAAATCACAGTATAAACATGCTCAGAGTCTGATTTTAGCAGCAAAAAATCTCCAAAGATTCCATCATCACTGAGCATGCTCAAGCCTCTCACAGCTCCTACTGCTGATCAGACTGTGTGTGCACCATCCCCACAGAGAAACTGAGGGTATTTCATCCCCTCAGCATTCTTATGTGTGACCAGACTTGTACATTGCTTTGGGATGGAGAATGTGTAGTCTGGCTACTATAGAGAGAGCACCATAGAAAAGCTTATGAGGACGTTAATAATTTTGTATTCACTGCAGGAATTGGGTACACTTAATGATGAAGATAAAAGAAAATAGTGAATAACTATCCATTCACTGAGCACCATACATCTTGTGCACTGAATGAAGTAGGGTTGTGTGGAAAAAAATAGTACATGATACAGTCTAATTACTTGATCATAATGTGCATGCATAAGGGTTGCTATACAGTGTTTAGAATGTTTTGAGTACTCCTGTTATATCACTAATACTATAAATAACAAATAATTGTAATTTTTTTCATCTCTTTAAAAGCAGAGATCATAGTGGATTCTTTATATTTTTAAATTCTGTTCCCACCAGGTCTCTACATGCAGTATTGGTTTGAGGTTGACGGGACATGGACTGAGATGATAAAAATTATTTTTAAAGCAAATAATGTAAACTTAAATATAACGTCAATTAAAATTCAGTTAATTTTTTCCACTTGGATGCAGCTTTTTCCTTTTCAAATCAATCCTTTTACTTTTTCATTTAGCTCTGCTATTTCATAAACTATTGAGCCAAGAAAATCTTCGGAAATGTGAAAGCTTCAGTATCCACTATATCTGCTTTTTTCGCCAAATCCTTCCTTTAAGCAACCTTGTATAGACAACTGGGATTGCGTAGCCTCCCTTGTCTTTTTCAGATAAAGGGTGCCTTCCCTCTCCTCCATCAAAACTTGTGCAAAATCACTGACTTTGTGAAGCATTTTAGCTACAATTATTGTTCAACATTCTGTGTTTATTCAGAATTGCATTCTTTTATGCCTGGTCTTCGGGTTGAAACTGGTGAGCCTTAAATAGTACGACCCTCTGGACTTGTCTCTTGTAGAAATTATAGTCTGGAATATAAAAAGGAATAATATAAAAAAGCAGAAGCTCTGCAGGAAGTGCTGTATTTGACCTGAATCTGAAGGTCAATATAAAATCCCTGTTAGTACTGGTACGGTGCTGCACTCCAACGCTGATCATTGGTGCATTGGGATACAAATAAACGTATTGTAATCCTTTTCCAATCACATTTAGCAGTGACCGCATGTTTGTGGAAAATATTTTAATGTGCTATGATGATCTCTTTTTGTTTTGAGATATTTAATCACTAGAGAGGAGTGATTTGTAACAAAGGACACCCAAGTGACTCAAAATGTTGGCGTTAGAAAAAATCTAACAGCTCTACCACTGTGTGTCATCCTTGTTTAAGATACAAAGCTCTGGTCTCTTCCAGGAAGGTGCAAGCTCAAGGAAATTTAATGAGGAATCATATAGGATTCAAAAGGATTCTCTGAAGTACAGTGAGTAGTCTAGGAATGGTGCTGAGTCCCAAATCAAAATGGATGAGCAAATAAGAAAAGTTAACAGATTGTCCCATTTGTATGCATGAACTATATTACCAAAATGCAAAATACTTCAAAGGAGGGTAAGCAGAAAAATAGAGGAGACCTAACAATACTATTCTATTTTCTCACCATCACAAAAATATTCTACTTACTTTCTTAATAGGTTATACAATTTTCTCCACAATGTAGATACACAACTGTTTTTATTCCTACTCACCTGTTTGCACTTGTCCTCAGCTGCTTTCTTGTCTGCTTCAGCCTGTTCAGCTCTATCAATTGCATTCTCCTTATCTAGCTTCAGCATCTGCATCTTTTTCTTGATGGCTTCCATTTTTGCTGGAGGATGGGACTGTGTCTCTAACACACAAGAGAAGAAAAGCTTTGCAAGACCAAACTAGTAGTAAACAGTCTTAAAAATAGGTGGAGAAAGTGGTAGAGCACGGCTCTAGGCGTGCAGGACAGTGAACCTTTGAATGGTTGTAGTTCGCTTTAAAGTCTCGAAGACCCTTACTCAATATTTTGGATGCAGCCCAAATCTCTGGTGGCCCCCACCCCACCCCTCCAGACCTTTCATGTGCAGCCTTTCTAAGGAACAAGCTGGAAGCGATTCACTAGGGGAATCTTCAGCACTCAGTCATCTCCTTATTTGGGTGTCTGTTTTCTTAAAGGAAAAAAATGTTTCCATTTTTAACCTTCTGACATAAGCAAATGTGTTGACATATGAACACATATGCTTGAAACAAAGCTCATTAGCAGCTCTGGTTTGTAGAGCAGTTAAATAGTCCACAGAGCTATGGAAAATGATCTGGCTTCCCATACATAGCAAGCAAGCAGAGTAACACCTGGAGGAAGTGGAAGGATCCTTATGGATTTAGAAACTGAAAAATGTTCATGCACAGAAAACTTGAGACAGTGACTACACATGCAAGAGAAACTAGTAAAAAGATGTATTTTATGGGAAACAGGCATCCTATGTGTTATATGTTGTGAAATGCATAACAAAATTATAGGTATAAAAATCATAAACCCTTGGAGTCCCAAATTTTGCTCTCAGTTAGCCTGGTACAATTCCTATAAATAATCTTGCAATGGACGTTTCATATATGTAACAGAGGGCAGATTTGGTACCCAAGATAGTACCATTTTGAGTTTGGCACCTAGCTGCCATTTCGATCTTTGAAAATTCTCCCCCTAAATATTTGGGGGAATAATATATATTTTTTAATTCATTTGGGAGATGATGCTATAAACTTGAAATGTCACAAGTATTTTGTCAATTAAACAGATTCCATTCATAAAACTATTATCTTTGAATATGATTGAGGGAAAGTTTGTTTTAGTTTTTACATTTTATGTATATTAATAAAGTGTGTTTTCCAGAGATGCTTTTTGCCCAATGGCAACGTTGATCTTGCCATCTTGTGGCAACATCTAATGTTCAGGAGACAAAAGCATGTTTGGGTCCTTTTTTGTCATAAGGGTCTCAAACTCTCCCACAGGCAGGGACTATGTCTAAATAAATTATCTCATGCTCTTTGTTTTCATGATCATCTGGATTATCACAGAAATGAAACGCTGGAAGGGACACTGAGAGGTCATCAAGCTGAACCCTGTGCCTGCACTGAGGCTGGCCCAAGTAAACCAGAACATCCCTGGCAGGTGTTTGTCCAACCTGTTCATAAAAACCTCCAGTGAAGGGGATTCCACAACCTCCCTTGGAAGCTTGTTCCAGAGCTTAACTACCCTCATAGTTAGAAAGTTTTCCCGAGTATCTAACCAAAATCTCTCTTCCTTCCTGCAGATTAAGCCTATTACTACTTGTCATGCTTTTAGTGGACATGGAGAACAGCAGATCACCATGCACTTGATAACTCTTCAAATATGTTAAGGGCTGTTATCAGGTCCCCCCTCTTTTCTCAAAACTAAAAATACCCAGTTTTTTAATCTTTCATGATTTTTGATGCTCCTCCTCTAGACTCTTTCCAGTTTGTACACATATTTCTTAAAGTGCAGTGCCTAGAATTGGAAACAGTGCTCCAGCTGAGGCCTCCCAGGGCCGAGTAGATTGGGATAATTACCTCCCGTGCCTTACATACAACATTCCTGTTAATATACCGCAGAATATTAGCCTTTTTAGCCACTGCATCACATTAATTCATATTTAATTTGAGATCCATTATGACTCCAAGATCTTTTTCAGAGGTACTACTGCCTAACCAGTTATTCCTCATTTTGTAGCTGTACATTTGATTTTTCCTAAGTGAATTACTTTGCACTTGTCTTTATTAAATTTCATCTTGTTGATTTCCGCACAATTCTCCAATTTGTCAAAGTTGTTTTGAATTTGAAGCCTGTCCACCAAAGTGCTTGCAACCCCTTCCAGCCTGGGGTCATTTGCAAATTTTATCACTTCATTATCTAAGTCATTGATGAAAATATTGAATATGGCCCTGCTATTCAAAAAATATTATTAAAGTATTTAATGGGTCTTTAATGTTACATGGCAGCCAGAAACAAGGAACCAGTATTATGTGACCAGCCAACATCACAGATCACAAGTAAACCTTTTTTGAACCAGTTTGGGAATCTTTGTTAAACCATTTGAGTCATACAAGTTTGACCCCTCTGCAGTGAGCTAATGTACTAAAAAAAATAGATATTATTTTCTATTACTTAAGATGTTTCACTAAAGGAATTCTACTTTTGTTAAACAATTAAATTGTAATTTGGTAAAGAAATAATCCTCACTGAATAGAAACTTCAGTGTTCTGGAGAAAAATTGGTTCTAATTTGACTGAGTCATGAGCTTAGAAAATCACACACTGTATTTACATAACATTTTAAAATAAAAGTAATATGTTAAACAGTGATCCACGAGTGCTCCAGGGTATGGTAAACTGTGGGTAAGGACTGTGTGATAGATTTAGCTGAGTAAAGCGCATAGTGGATGTATGCAGTGTGTGAAACGTTGTAATAACTGGGCCTATACATTTACCTTAATTGTAAGCTTAACTGCTGAAAAGTGGGTAAAGGCTCACAGATTGTTAGAATGGTCTGTTATATAAAACTGTTTACGAAAAGATGTGGAGCAAAGGAGACAAAGACTGAATTAATATAAATAAAAAGGGTTTACTGATACCAGTCAAAGACTATGTATTACGAATGGTGAACAAGATGAGCAGAAAGTCAGAAATCAGGTAACCAAAAATCGGTGTGTTGGGAATTAGGCCAAATTGGTGGACAAAATAATAGGAGGATGGGCTACTTAGCTCATTGCTCCCTTTTGCGGTCCTTAAAAAGAGACTGGGTGAAAATGCAGTGGAGTGCTTTTTACCATCACCACAGCTGTGGTGGAAAGATTGTTATCATGATATCAGACCGTGGTACTACAGTGGGGAGCTTGATCATCATCGCTGCACCAGGGAAGACTCCAGCCTGATACATTCTTTGTCTTCCCTTCCCTTGTGCATTCCTTTCTGCATCCCCCATCTTCCTTCTGTCCCCTCTCTCTCAGCTTTTCACTGGATCCTGAAATCAACTGTATTGCACAGCACCAGTACAACGAGATGAGATGGCCCATCCAGCTCTGCCCATCCTGAGAAGGATGAATGAAGGAGAGGGACCTGACCAGACCAACTAGATAATGTCCCTGTCTGGGGAGAAGAGCATGTCCAGAGCAATAGCTTTCATGGCTGACCTACAAGACCAAAGCATCTGTCCCATGACTGACCAGCCACCCTGTATTCTGAGCTGTATTTTCACCATCTTTATTATCCTAGTTCTTCTCTCTCTCCTGTGTCTGTTTTGTCTAATGCAGGAAAGTGACTGTCATTCTAAATTCAGAACTGAATAATAGAACACCAAGGGCTGTTTGACTGAATAAGAGATATTATGTCTCTCGAAAAGACTTTGATAGGTTTTTATTATTTTATTATTTGTTCTTTATCTCTTTTTGCTTCTTTCCTTTTGTGAGTTTCAAATAAGCTCCAGAATAGTTCTTGAAGAGTTCCTCAGATCTTGCACTTCTTGTTATCATTAAATGTAGAACTGGTTGCCTAACTTATTGGAAATAATGATTGTTGTACATTTTTGACATCTCTGCAGTGACTAAATTATATTTTTTATTATAATTAAAATAAATTTCTCCATTCTGTGCACATTTGATTACATTCTGTCCCCTGTACCAGACGCTGTCCTGCTGTTACACAGTTCTAATAATTTCAAGAGATGGTGACTAACTGGATGACATGAAACAGACCTAGAGAAGCAGCATGGGAAGCAGAGGCGGCACTTCTCTCAGATTGGAAATTGGATCTATCCCAAAGGACAAGGCAATATCCTGATCCAAAGCCTTGCATGGTAAAAACTGGCCCGATGTAGTACTAATATCAAGGGAATTACATCAGATAAAACTGGATCCCAAAGCAGAGAACCTAAAATATAACCATACGAGCTGGAAGCTACCACATGGAAACTCTTATTAACTACACTTACATTGAATTGGAAAGTACAACAAGAATAATATGGATTACAGAAGTGTGTTTGTTGCTCTGTAGAATCTCTCAATGTTTAAATTATTTTAAATATTTTCATCTCTTGATGCTTCGGACAAGATAGACATGAAAAATATATATGAGCAAAGTTATGATAATCTTAAATGAAGCAAAATTGTTTTGAGTCTGAAGTATTTTTGAAGCTAGTGAAATACTCAGACCCAGTCTGAAATTGTTCATAGATTATATATTTCTTAGGCTGTCGATTAATCGCAGTTAACTCAAGCGGTTAACTCAAAAATATTAATTGTGATTAAAAACATTATTTTGGATGTTTTTCTACATTTTCATATGTATCTTGTATTCTGTGTTGTAATTGAAATCAAAGTGTATATTTTGATTACAAATATTTGCACTATAAAAATGATAAACAGAAGAAATAGTATTTTTCAATTCACCTCACACAAGGACTGTAGTGCAGTCTCTTTGTCATGAAAGTGCAACTTACAAATGTAGATTTTTTTTTTGTTACATAACTGCACTCAAAAATAAAACAACGTAAAACTCCAGAGGCTACAAGTCCTCTCATCCTACTTCTTGTTTAGCCAATCACTCAGACAAACAAATTTGTTTACATTTACAGGAGATAATGCTGCCATCTTCTTATTTACAACATCACCAGAAAGTGAGAACAGGCATTTGCATTGCACTTTTGTAGCCAGCATTGCAAGGTATTTACGTGCCAGATATGCTAAACATTTGTATGCCCCTTTATGCTTCGGCCAGCATTCCAGAGGACATGCTTTCATGCTGATGACACTGCTTAAAAAAATAGTGTGTTAATTAAATTTGTGACTGAATTCCCTGGGGGAGAATTGTACGTCACCTGCTCTGTTTTACCTGCATTCTGCCATATATTTCATGTTACGACAGTCTCGGATGATGACCCAGCACATGTTGTTCATTTTAAGTACACTTTCACTTCAGATT